TCCGAATAAGAAAACATGCCCCAATTTTGGACCTGGCAAAATACTGGCTGGAGGGCGAAATCCCACCAGTTCACCATCATCGAAAATGCTGCAGTATCTTCACAAAGAAGAAACTTCTTGATGCTATCAGCAAAAAGCAGGACAATAAAGATGAGCCTGAAAATAACGCCAGACTTAGGAAATCATCTAGACAAAGATCAAGCACAGCTTCTAGAGTTTATGACATAGCATGCATCTTTTGTTAGAAAACCAACAAGTGTCTTCGCGCACAGAAATCAAGAGAATCTCTTATACACTGTTGTGAGCTGCGAGCAGATGCCAGCATCAGAAATACAGCCATGAAGAAAATGTATAGTAAAATGCTTGTTATCGTGAGCAGAGATCTGGTAGCAGCAGAAGTTCACTATCATATATCATGCTACAGATCATACACATGAAAGGAAAAGGCTACCAGCAGTGCAACACGTGACGAAGACAACAACGATGAAGCTCTAACTCACTTACATGAAAGTATTCCTATTTATTTGAAATGAGCTTTTCACCAACTCACGGGTGACAGCGATGGCTGGTCTCACGTCTAAATTGGTTACATCAATGAATTCTCTTGGCATTGAACAGGTGAAAGATTTCTCTAAGAAGCACCTCTACAGAAGGCTAGAAAGCGTGTTTGGTGAAGCTTTGTATATCTTCCCCAATGGGAAAGGGAAACTTCCTCTCTATCCTGAAAACTTGTCAATAACTGAACTTGCTAAAGCTAACCACATCCTAAAAATGAAGCTGCAGACACTGAAATGTCTCACTGCAGAAGACGTTATAGCCAAGGCAGCCCTGCAGATGAGAGCAGACATGAAAAACGAAAAATTTCCCCAAACCTGGCCGCTGCAGGTAGTGGAAGTGGAGAAGAGTAGATCCATTATCCCAGTGTCTGTCATCCATATTCTACGATATTTGCTGACTGGCACCAAGGACCATGGCCAAGCATCCCAATAAGTTAAATAGTTCATAAGCTCTTTTGGTAATGACTTGGTATATGCTATCACTCAGGGAAAGACAAAGCCACTCAAACACATCATTCTCCATTTGCAGTTAAGTCTCTGATTGGGAATGTAGAGCTCATTCAGACCCTCAACCAACTTGGTCACAGTGTATCCTACTCCCAGATGGAAAGAGATTGACACAACCCCGTGTCTGCAGAAGATTTCACTGTCAGAAGATAACGTCGCCTTTCCTGAAGTTTTCATAACCCTAGCCTGGAACAACATTGATTGATTTGAGGGGGACCATCAGTGGTGAGGAGACATCCCACAGAGTTAATGGAATTGCCATTCAGGCGAAGGCAGCTGACTTGCAGCCATCTAAAACATTGCCTCCTGTTGATAAAATCAAGAAAAGAAGTATCAGTACTTGACCACTGTTTCTGCCCAGATACAATGTTGGGCAAAGGGAATGGCCATCCCAAACTGAAAGTGTAGAGGCTAACTCCGCCATTGTCCAGCATGCGAGAGTGAAAAACATTGTCTGGTACACACGTCCAAGGAAGAAGGCCAATCAATCAGCAGCTGGACTGGCTTTAACACCATGACTCGAGGTGATGACAGAGTCATTCAGGGCAACATTGGCTGTCTACCCACAATCAACGCATATGCAACACAAATGTCTACTGCTAACGAAGTGCTGAAGAAGTCACTAAGTATTATACAGTCTTTAGAACAGTCCAACAAGTTTTATACACAAAGGCTGCCGGGATGATATGGAAATAACCTGACAAGTTCAAGCAGATAGTTATCGTTAGGCTTGGAGCAATCAACACCATATGCACACTCCTGTCAACCATTGGAAATCGTTTCCAAGATGCTGGAATATGAAATCTATGCATCGAGTCTGGTGTTATTGTCGAAGGCTCTATTGCTGGTTCGATGGATGGCTGCAAATACAACAGAGCAGTAAGGCTTCAAAACTGGTGTGGAAGACACTCATGAGACTAGCGTGGAAGAGATTCTTCTTCTGGTTGCAAGCCACTCACGAAGACGCCCTTATCCACCTGAATGTGACACTGAAGAATATCAGCAGCCTGTATCAGGAAGTTTCACAAATGAAGCTGCAGGAAGTAATTGAGAACAAATCACGTGCCTGCATTATTGAGCTATTTCAAGCCTACTTGGATTTCTTCAAAAATAGCAACAGAAGTCTCTACATTTTGGCTTTCATATTTCAATATGGTCGAGATTTTTCTGGGCCTCATTCTGGCATCAAAAGAAGGAACTGGATGTTGCATCTAGCCTGTAGTTGTGCAATGAGCCCCTGGTGCTTTGCATATGAAAGGGTCAATTATTCACACTACATTTCATACTACTATACCCAGATGTTGCATCTGCCCATTTAACACCAAGATGTCCATGATGAATTCATGCAAGATGGATTTTCAGTTCAGCTTGGGTACAGAAACCACTGAGAAGTACCTGCAGAACTGAGAAGATAGAACAGTTTACCTGCAACCTGTATTCAACAATGACCAGCACTCACAAGGTGAATGAGCTGAGGTACCAGCTCTTCTTTGCCAAATGAGGAGAGATTGAATCAAGTCAGCTTCCACCATGCAGGGACTGCCTCTACATGCATGCACACTGTGCGAACTACTAACCAGCAATCTGAAAGTGCTGTATTCAAAGTCACACTGATGTACCAAATTCAAAAGGGTTTGGATGGACTACAGATGATGATGGACTTCTAGTCATTCAGTGGATGTGCACACCACTAGCTCCGAGATGCAGTCTTGGAACTGCTATCCAGTAAGTGTCTGCGTCTCTGCAAGCTGCCACGTTGCTCTTGCCTTTCTTTGCTATGGTTTAACATGTACAGACATGAAACGACCAGAAGAAGGAAAAAGAGGTCCTTGTTGAACTTGGCAACTCAGATGACGATGAAGATAATGATTGGTCGAGTGCATTGAAGCCATGCGTGTCCCATGTTTAGGCTGTGTGCACACTAAATGACTGCTGCTGTCTGGTTTATGTTGCTGTGTATATAAACTCTGAATACTTAAATACACATGTTCTTGAACTTGAATGTTGAAAACGTTGTATCCTTAAATTATCTGTTGGACATGATTGTCAAATTATGATTTTGTATTAATTATGCTGCATGTTCTTGGCCCGTGTTCCATAACTGTCATATTCTTTATATTTAATCTGCCATGTATTATAAATGCTTTATTTTCCTTAGCCATATACGCCCAAGAAATTAGATTTCCAGCAATTACTGGTTCTTACGAGTACATGACTGCATTGAATATTTGTGATTTTTTTTCTTGTGGAAGCTCACGTATCTAGAGGAACTTCACCATTTACTATATTCTGTATTGTTTCAAAGATAATGTAAAATTATGTTATACTGGAAATAACATTATAAATGATGATTATGACGATGGGCAGAGTGTACTGAAGCCATGTGTGTCACATGTTTAGGCTATCTGTAGGCTAAATGACTGCTACTGTCTGTGTTATGTTGTCTGATATAAGATTTAAACACTTAGGAACTGGCATGCTCTTGAACTCGAGTGTTGAAAACAGTTTATCCTTAAATTCTGTGTTGGACACAATTATCACATTATGGTTGCCAATGATTTCTGCTACATATTCATGGGCTCTATCCCATTACTTTTATATATATACATTTAATCTGCCATGTATTCCGAATATCATTTTGCTGACTTTAGTCATTTACAGTCAAGAAATCACACTTTCAACAGTTTCTAGTTCTTTCGCGCACATGACAACCTTTAAAGGTATCTACCAACATTGTTTTAATATTCCTAATGATCTTCTCGGGGGTTCAATAATGCATCAATTCATAAAGAAATGTCTGGATTCAAGTAACTAAAATATTAACTAAAAAGAAGATAATTTACCTAATAAAAATACTGAAAATATAAACCAGTTTTACGAAGTGGTTGTAATACAACCCAAATATAAGTATATGGGATTAAATGTCATTCAGCAAAGTGGTCCTAGGTACCAGCTTAATTTTATTCACAGATATCTTCATAATCAGAGAGTATATGTAAATGACAGCGAACAAAATCTCTCATTTATTATAATGTTTATGTTTTGATACATTAAACCAAAGAACTCTACATTTTTTTTTACATTTCAGGTCTGTCAATGTTAGCATATACTATTACACTACATTGCTTCTGCACTGTTCCACAGACATTGTAAGATCGTGCATTAATGAAAATAACATTATAAACATGACTTTCTCTTGTATTTATTCATGTCCTTTGTAAACCAAACAACAGGGACGGCAGCAAAATGTCTTCCAGGAGTGGGCACAATAAACAGCTTATTACCACCACTAAGCTACCTCTTTACAATGGTTATTATATCAATATATATATATATACTATAGGCATATACTAATTCAAAAATTATAGTCAGACTTTGCCCCCCAAGATGGCACCAATAAGTGAAATTTTGAGTCGTGGCCCATGGATTAATATCTATATCAATTGTTAAGGGGAAGAAGTTGGTTTATATTTTATGGTAATGAAATGCTTACCGATTTTTTTCAAAATATTTGTTAGTCCTTGTGGTAACTCCTATGCTTTTCTTTATGCTATTATAAATGATTTATTATACTTTGCATAGGCTGACAGAATTATTTATAAGCCATTTCTATTAAACATAAATCCATTATATGTTTAGTGAAAAGTTTACATTAAGAATAAAGCAGGAACTATTTAACATGTTTGGACCAATGAACACACTAAGCCTGAATAATACACGAATTCAAATTTTACTGTACTTGTATACAAACTATATCGATTATTAGCGAGGAAATGACATTTTGGATTCACTTCCTTGGAAGTAACTAACAAATTAAAACATTTCTTCTACTTTCATACCTTTCATTTTTCACTTACTACTTTTAATATTTTAACGTTATAACTTGTTGCTTGTAAAAATAAGTAGTTTTTAGGGTTTCATACATTGAAAATGTACCTTTTAAATGACACCTTTCCATAAAACCTTTACGGCTCTTTCCAGATGAATGAGTCAGGCTTAACTGAATCATGTGATGTGCCTTCTGAGGTGTATCATCAAAGTTCGTACTTTCACTCCTAGAGGGCACTGGTTCAATTGTATAATCTCCATGAGACGTATGAATTAATCCAAACTGTGAAAACAAACAAACAAAAAAAAACGTGTAGACATAACCATATGTTTTAACATTTGACTGAAAAATAATTAAACTGCGTTTATTATAATTCTCAGTGAGTTGCTTAGTTCTATATCGAAATATTCAGTTTAAATTGAAATAGTAGTTCGCATGTTCATCTGATTGGAAAATTAGGCGTAAATTGAATATTTTGACTTTTCTAGTTGCGCACTAGAACTGGTGGGAATGACCTCTCATAAATATCATATTACAATACAAGAACAAAACATCATTCACTGTGAAAAATATTTTATCTAGTGAACCTCAGAATGAAAAAATAATAACTTGAAAGTATAATTTTCAATAATAGGACACTCAGAAATGGCATTGAAAATTCATTTGGCAAACTGCATTTAAAACATAAAAAGGACGTAATTAATATTTCAAACCTAAATAGAACACTTAAGACAAGTGAAATCAAACACATTATTTAAAAACATGTAACGGTATCGTTTAGTTTGTTTTGTTTTTACGGCTAAAGGACGTACTTGTGGAATATAGTTTAATGTAAAGAAAAACAAAAACGACAGAGACTCAGAGCTAAAAGATTCAAATTACAAAGTAGCTTGAGAAAGAAAATAGTTCGTACATGTAAACGTACGTCACTTGTTTGGAAGCTTGCGCTTTATTTTTCTTTCGACGGAAAATGGTGAGTTGAGCAGCATTCTCTGTATAGTTGGCAAATTATCGGCTTTGCGGTGGAAACGTATACTTTTGTCTTCAAATAAAACAAGATTTTCTATTGAAATTTATCACTTTTAATCAGTGACCTTTTATCATTGCTCAGGAGTTTTCAAAGTGTGACTCTAATTTCTTGACTTATGACACTACATTGTTTTGCTAGGCCGTTGTTTAGCTACGCGGGTGTTTCAAGCTCTTCAAATAACCCATAGAGCATAATTTTAGAAGAAGAATTACGTTGAAATTAAACAGAAATTTTATTTACACTTGAAAGATTGATTAGAAATCATTAGAGAACCAAAAAAATCTAGCTAACATATTTTGTGTTTTTTGTTGGTAATAAAAAGTTATTATTAGATACGACTCTTTCATTGGGATTACTAATAACTGGGAGACGATTTATTTTAGTGTACAATAAAAAAAGTTCTCTAGAACGAGTAATTTTGCAGTACGATGTGGTTGGAAATTAACAATCAACTGGGAAAACACAAAATAAAGTTAAATATTAGCCGTATCAACATCATTTGCATATTTTTACGCGCAGATATGCGTTGCAGCAAGGAGATTTACGATTAAAGAAGGTGCTACAAATTAGCTGTAATCGTGAAGGTAATTATATACGCGGTTCAGTTCCATTTGGAATTCCTTTCAGAACATACAAATCATGTTAAAATGATTTCAACAGAGCTGTAGTGAAAACTGTGAACTTCGCTGATCTAACCTTCTTGCATTAGTATCATTTTTTCTCTATTTATTGAAAGAGTATTTTATCATGCATTAGTTACAAAACTTGGTTCACTATTTTCTTGCTGACCGTTGACGACGACTCTTGTTAATCTATAAATATCTAATATCTATAGTATAAAACGCATATATCATGGAATTCGTTATATTTACATATATATACACACACACATGTATGTGTGTGACACAAGGAAGCTTATAATTTTACTGTTGGTGTTTATTTCTGCTCTATCGTGGCGATGATTATATAAATATATTACTACAGTATATGTCGAAATAGATTACAAATACAGTTAAAACTAGATGCAATTAGCAAAACCTGTAAGCAAATAACAATTTATTTTAACTACTCTGGAGTACTGAATTTAAGCCCGACACTGCATTATATGTGAATAGCATTATATACCCATGAATGTTCACGCCCTGACGTCACCGTTGTACGGTACTTTGAATCCCAGACGTATTTGCTACTATGATGTACTGGTATGGCGAATAGAAGGAAGTAATCAATGGCAATTTTTTTTTTTATGCGAAGACAGAAAATTAGCTCAGACTATTTATTCTATATTTTATTTATTTTTACTGAAAGACGTCAGAGATATTTGTTGTCATTAAATTTTGTTTTCGCGTTCACACGGTATCTCTAAGGGATGAAATTATTTTCAAAAGATCTATCACAGGGTATTCCTTCATCACACTCAGTTCATAGTCGTAGGACTTCTCGTGCTTCATAACGGTCCCTGGTTCGAAGTAAGCCGGGAAATGAACAATATAATTAAGGGATATGGAATCGGTGATAGTGAATGAAGCAAACAAATTTGTTTATGTTTTATAAGAAGGTTCTAACATTTCTTTAATGTTAGTTCATTAACAACATTGGCTAAAATGTTAAGTATAAATATATATACATTATTAAATATACATTTTATTACATATATTTTATTATTGTTATTGTTTTACATTGTTATTACCTTAGTAAATAGGTTTAGGACTAACTAAAATCTCCTGAGCTGGACGAATCCCGTGAAGTATTATTGGGATTATTGCCGAAAATATTTGCTGACAGTGAGGATACCCAACTTATTAATCAACAAGTAAGCAAAAAGAATTTGCACAAATTATGTATGATGTATGGATGGCAATGCCAAAAAGTAGAGAAAAAAGGTAGGGATGAATACATAGAACCATACAAAATCCCTACATAAGTAGACAGTAAGTAAGCTTATAAGCTTATGGTTATTAGCCACTGTAAGACAGTATAAACACTGTTCAGTTTAAGTGTTTTCACTAAACCTGAATTCATGCAACTGACAGAAATTCAACATTTAGTTGTAGGTAAGAGTTATTATTGGAAAAATTTGGCTACTTTTTATTTCTTGAATATCATTTATGAGAAAGTGTGATTTTGAAGATATTCACTGTAATTAACGATAAAAATCAAACTAATTACATTATTCTTATTTAACTATAATGTTACATACGCATTAAAAGCAAGTGGATTTAGATGTTTTACTTTCAATACTTCAAACTATGACAACGAAACAAATGTGCAATAAACACATATTCTATTCTAATTGCATCATTTACAATTAGGTATCTTTCTTCGTAATAAAGTTAATTTAAAACAGTTCTTGCCTTAATCCCTTTACATTCATTTATTTGTAATTCTAAAAATTGAATTAGTAAATAAATTTATTAAATGGTGCACCTCCCCATACTCAGCGGTATGCTTTAGGACTTAACACTAAAAGTTTGTGTTCGATACCCGCGATAGGCAGAGCGCAGATAGTCTATTGTTTAACTTTAGGCTTGGACACAAACAAATGAAAATAGTATGATGTAAAACAAATTCCGAATATTTCGCATGTTTGAATCCAGATTACATACATATGTTAAGAAATAAAATATTTTTACGTACACAAAGTAATGTGTTAATTTTTGGCTTGCTTAAACCAACGTTGAGGTTTTAACTATATTTACTTGAAAGAAAGAATTAATGCCATATTTCAGCTACGGTGTGTACCAAGCCTTAACCCCCATTAAAATATTTTAAAGCTATATGCATCAGTCGAATGATAACGCTAGCTTGGATATTGTTCCTTCTGTTATTCCAGTTCATTTTAATCATTTTAAAATTTTACATAGCTTGTTAAAAAAAAAATTGGCAGAAATTTGGTTATCATATCATGTAAAACAGCTTAATTGAATTTTACAAATGAGACAGATGTAGCTTGATGAAAACTGTTCGTCAAAAAACAAAAACAACAAAAGCTTTATAGTAATTCAATTATAGAAATTGTTCAAGTTTATGAAATGCTTAGATGTGTTCAAATGGAAACTTTTCGATTTTTCTTTTGTTTTTAAGTTGGACCCTACATGTTTTTTTGCTATATATGGATACTTGCTGGGAAGAACTTCCCTTTGTGCGATGTAAAGCTGTTATTGACATATTTATTTTAAAAAGTGGACACATGAGCTAAATAAAGTTTTTAATAAGAGACCCAATTGTAATGAAACTTGGCTAGGAACTTTCCCTTATGATGTTGAAAAAGTTTCATCCAAATCGTACTTTAATTGTGGAAAGAGTTTTGAGAACAGACGGACATTTAGCCTCTCATATATTCATATTTATATAGATATAAACCACACACACCAGATGGCGCCAGAGATGGATGGTGGTTTTGGAAAACATTACGTTTTCTAGTTGAAAATTGAAATAAACAGTTGCATGTGGTTGTAATAGAAGTTAAGCATTACACGATACAGTGAAACCTAGCATCTTATTGCATAGAAAAATCGCTATTTTTTATTTATGAAAATATTTCTAATACTGAATACTCTTTCTTGAAAACTGAAATATATGGTTTTATTATTTACGTCCCCTCCTAAACACAAAACAAAAAAGCATGGCTTTTAAAATAACTAATCTTTGTTTCACAAATTATAACCAGCAACAAAACGGAAGTAAGTAGCCCTGAAGAAGGCAGTTCTTTATTGACAAAGGTGAATTAACCTTTGGGGAACCAAGTTATTATTTACGCTGGTGGTAACTGCTTGCGGTTAGCTAGCACCCCGTTTCATTAATTGTCTGCTTACTTCGACCATAGTCATAAACCGGTCACCAGCTACACGTTATAAAGTTCTAGTGACATTTATTGACAAACAAAATGTCTCAGAAAATAAAGAAAGAGGGAAAGTAAAACTGAGAAAGTTATTTTAGTTTCTGTTTAATCTTCAGAATAATACAATAATTTTCTTTGACAACTCAGTCGGAGACTGTTTTTACACGTCTTGTACAATGTAAATAGTTTTTCCACAACAAAAGTAATCTTTCAGTACCAGATACATTAACGAACTAATGAAAATGTAAGTTCATGTAATTTCGTCTCGTTCTCTATCACAGAGTGATTTTTTAATAGTTATATTATTGCTGTAAATGTTTCAAAGAAGATAATAATTTGAAGCAATATCGAAACCGTCTATGAAGATTTCTATTAAATTTTGATACAAAATAAAGCTTAAACATTCGTTAT